GATGAGTAGCATCTGCTCTCTGGCTGAGAAGGTCTTCCTGGTGGCCCTTTGGAAGGAGACCCTGGGCGAGGAGGCCTAAGGCGGGGAGGTGGGTGGGTGGGTGGGGGAACCTTGGAAGGACTGGAGGGGGGGAGAGAGCGGCTTCAAGAACGGGACGAATCTTGCAGTCTGCAGCGACGAGCTGACGCACAACCTCAAGGGCTTCACCGTCATGAACGACGCCGAGCGCTACGACGCCGTGCAGCACTGCCGTTACGTGGACGAGGTGGTGAGGAACGCGCCCTGGACCCTCAGCCCGGAGTTCTTGGTGGAGCACAGGGTAAGGGGAGCGAGCGGGGGAGAACGCCGTGCGTTATAAGAGGGTCGGCCGGGGCCTCGGCGGGAATCGACCTGGGAGGCTTTCCACCTGGCCCAGGTGCGGGGGGGGGGGTTGAGGCAATGATCAAGAGTTAAGAACTTTAGTAGTTTCTTCCCTCCCCTCCTTCCTCCTTTCTTTCTTAATTTGTTTTCCTTCTTTTTATCCTTCCTCCCTTCCCCTTCTTTCCTTCTCAATTTCCCTTCCTTCCCCCCTCCCCCTTCTTTGCTTCTCAATTTTTTTGTGTTCCTTCCTTCCTTCTCAATTTCCCTTTGTCCCTTCCTTCTCAATTTACTTTTCTTTCTTCCTTCCTTCCTTCTTAATTTTCCTTCCTTCCTNCATCATGATCCCATGGACAACGTTCCTCCAGGCCTTCCTGTCCTCTACCATCCTCTGGAGTCCATTTAAGCTCACACCTACTGCTTCGGTGACTCCATCCAACCATCTCATTCTCTGTCATCCTTTTCTTCTTTTGCCCTCAATCTTTTCCAGCATTAGGCTCTTCTCCAGTGATACCTATAACTAACTTATCATTAAGAACCAGAAGAAATCAGTACCTCCAGGACCTCCAAGGCCCCTTCCAGCCCTATGATTCAAAATAGCATGATTAGTGTTAGGTTTAGGTTGTCTGCGCTTAGATTGACAGAGACAGTGGAACAGAGGCTTTATAAGCAGGAGAGCTTGTATTCCCAAGGAAGAAATGAAAGTAAAAAGATAAAAGTCTAAAATACTTAGACTTACTTGATTAAAGCTATCTAAAAGTAGTTATATCTCAGCAGTCCTCTTTTGCTCATTCTCTTTACCCAGCTGGGGTTCCACTAAGTACAGTTAACAGAAAATGGGGTCAACTTTAGGGTACAAAGGAAATTTGCCCAATGAAGGGCAGAGAGTCTATATGCTTCACCAGTCAAGAAATTACCAAGTAAACAAATTGGGGTAGGATCAAGTCTTGTAAGGCTAAAAAAAAAGTAGCAGAAGATTCAGAACAGATCAAATAGCTAGAATGAATTCAATTCAGGAGTAAGTGGGCAGAAGTTAGAAAACCTCTAACAACCCCTAGCTGTTACTATGGTGGGGTGCAGGTGGCATTTGGATCATCTAAATATATGCTATGTTTTTATAACTGATTGGTTAGCCTGTTATGTATAAATAAATGAATTGCTAGCTCTTAGCAAGACTTTCTACAAGAAAAAAGAAGATTCATCCCACAAAGTTGAATAACTTGGGCTTATATCATGCTATCTGTCAAACTTTACGGATGCTGTTTTTTACTACCAGTGGTAAAGTAGTAAGGTTGTTCACAATTACTGCCACTAGGTCCGTCTTTACTACTTATTGAAGCCCTGGCACTAGGTTTGATTTAGAATGAACCAGGGGTAGGATTCAAAAAGTTCAGCAATAGGTTCTCTGACTGATTGCTGGGTGGGTGTGGCCAGTGACGTGCGGTGAAGATGAGGAGGAGTGAGGCAGCGGAGGTGGCTCCTCAGGGATGGTGACAAAAGGGGCTCCGGATGCCTGCACCATCTCCCGCCCGTCTTCCGGAACTTGCCCAGCCTGGCGCACGTCATTTTAAAGTGCATGCCGCTGCCCCGCCCCTGTCCATACAGTGGGATCTGCTTTATGGCCGGAAGGCACGCCGGCACTTTAAAGTGCATGCTGCCACCCCGGCCATACAGCGGGCTGTATGGCCAGGCCCGGGGCGGTGACATGCAGTTTAAAGTGCCAGCGCGCCTCTCGGCCATAAAGCAGGACATGTTTCACTCTATGGCGGAGCATGGCGGCATGCACTTTAAAGTGTCGGCGTGCCTTCCGGCCATTCAGCAGGTCCTGCTGAATGGCCGGAAGGCACACCGCACTTTAAAGTGCATGCCGCCGTGCCCCACCATAGAGCGAAACATGTCCTGCTTCATGGCCGGGAGGCGCGCTGGCACTTTAAACTGCATGCCGCCACCCCAGCCATACAACGGGACCCGCTGTATGGCCGGAAGCCGGCGTGTCCTGCTCTATGGCGTGGCGGCATGGCTTTAAAAAATAAAAAATAAAAAAGTGCCAGCACTCGCGCCAGCAGAGGCGGGTAAAACACACACACACACACACACACACACACACA